TTTACACTTCATTTATTTTTTATTTAATTTTGCATTATAACATATGACCTTAAAAATGGTTACTGTCGTTTTCATCAGTAGATAACTAACTAACACTATATAACGATCCGTTATCTTTTCAAATCAAGCATCCAAACATAACATTTCTGACAAGCTTCCTCAAATCAAATTTGAAAACTTTTTTTAAAAACTGTAACTTTTTTATTTAGAGACAGTCTTATATATCCAATGCTTGCTTCTAACTCATTGTATTCTCAAGAATGGCATTGAATTCTAATCCTCTTGTCTTTATTTCCTAGTTCTAGAATCACAGGGCATGAATCTCCATGCCCAGTTTGTGTGGTCCTAGGTGCCTACCCCAGAGCTTCATGCATGTTAGGCAAGCATCCACCAATTGACCTGCACTTCAGGTACTACCTATTGGTGTCTTGAAATAGGATCTCTCTCGGTAGCCCAGGTTGGCCTTTGAATTTATGATAATCTTCTGGCCTCAGCACATCCAGTGTCCAACAAGACCTTTCTCTCTCTCTCTCTTCTCTCTGTCTCTGTCTCTCTCTCTCATTTTTATTTACTTAATTATTTTACATTCCAACCACAGTTTCCCCTCCCTCCTCTCCTCCCAGTCCTTCCTCCCATCTCCTTTCTGCCTCTTCCCACCCCATCCATTCTTCCTCCATTACTGTTCAGAAAAGAGCAGGCCTCCCATGGATATTGACAAAACATGGCATATCAAGTTGTAGTAAGATTAAGGACCATGCCTTGTTTTAAGGCTGAGCAAGGCAACCAGGTATGAGAAATAGGGTCCCAAAGGCCTGTAAAAGAGTCAGAGACAGCCCTGCTTCCGCTGTTAGGAGTCCCACAAGGCTAAGTTGCACAACCGTCACATATATGCAGAGGGCCTAGGTCAGTCCCATGTAGGCTCCCTGGTTGTTGGTTCAGTTTCCGTGAGTTCCTATGAACCCAGATTAGTTGATTCTATGGATTTGCCTGTGATGTCCCTGACCCTCTGGTTTTTACAACTCTTCCTCCCTCTTTCCAGTTGGATATCCCAAGCTTGACCTAACATTTGAGTGTGGGTCTGCATCTGTTTCCACCAGGTTCTGGATAACACCTCTCTGATGACTACTGGGCCAGGGAACCATCTATGAGTAGAGCAGAATATCTTTGGGCACCATTGCACTGCCATTTCCCCCATCTGGTTGTGTTTGATTCTATCCTAGGTCGTGGACCATCGAGTCTCTGGGTCCTGGTGCCCCAGGCAGTGTCAGGGGTGAGCTCATCTCTCTTTTTAAAGTTTGAATTATTTTTGGGAGTCCCTAGGGAACACCTGAAAAATCTTAATGAGTTTGTTCTTTCACCTTGGCAAACAAAAATTAAACCAACCAGGCATTTGATATGCTAAATTCCAAGGGCTGAACTGTCAGCTCAAAAGTGAGGCTTGCCAGATGTAGGACACAGGTCTGTAATCCAAGCACCAAACAGACTGGGGCGGGAGGATGAAGGATGAGTTTAAGGCCATGCGACAAAGCTCTGTCTCAAGAACAACCACCAGCACAACAAAACGTGATACTTAACCTTTCCATCCCATTTTGAACGAATATACGCCACTAATACAGGTGGGCTTGCAATTAATGTCTCACTCTTCCTACCCATGATCAGACCTGCTGCACCCTGACTACTCGTGGGTAGAGCCACTATTTTCAGACGGCTTATGTGACAGAAATAACCAATTTTCCTTGTTAACTGTGCTGTAATGAACTCTCTTTGGATCTTAATTGTGGCTATTTTTAAGTCCCCATCACTCCCTGACAGATATTGTCTCTCTTGGATTCCTCTCAGAAAGCTGCAGCAAGCAGCTGCCGTGAGTGCGTCTTGTCCTCTGCCCGATTAACGAGAAAGACCCTCCCAAGCATCCCGATGTCCGTGCATGCAATGAATCATGCCACGGGATGAAGCTTTCTAAAATCCGATGTAGAAGCTGATGGGTTCATAAATCTGCCCGTGGATAAACTGATGAGCGCTGTGGAGGTTCTATCAATTGGCAGGCCCAAGAATCACCCAGGAGACAAATCTAGATTTGACTTCAATGAGATGGGAAGATCCATCACAAACAGGAAGTACAATTCTGATTCCGAAATAGAATGAAACGTTGAGAGTGAGCTGAGAACAGGCGTTTGTCACTGCTTCTCTAAGCAGGTACAATGCGGCCAGCCACACCACACTCCAGACACAATCAACGCCTTCCCTGCAATGGTGAGAGTACCTCAAACCGTGAGCAAACACTTCCTAGAGTTGCTTTTGTGAGGCATTTAATCACGACAATGAGAAGAGTAACTGCGAGAAGAGTTAGAGTTCTAACGCTTAGGGCCTTTCTATTTAAACATCGCTACCTCTATAGGGCCCTCTCTCCACATTTGAGGCACCTGCTTCCTCTTTTCCCTTAGGCTATCTATCATTCACAGGAAGTCAATAAATTATTCCTTCTCATCCTCCTCGTCCTTGTCCTCCATTCCTGCTGCTGCTGCTGCTGCTGCTGCTGCTGCTGCTGCTGCTGCTGCTACTGCTGTTGCTTTATTAAAAGTCCCCACAGGGGCTGACTGATAAGATACTTGCTGCAGTCCACAGCAGAGCTCATCTCCAGGACCCACATGGTGAAAGGAGAGAACAATACTCCACAGCTGTTTGTTTGGTTTGGTTTTTTAATTTTTCTTTGACCACCATATGTATGTTACGGCACATGCACTCACATATATACACGTACATGCAAGTGTGCACTCTCTCCCCACTCTCTCTCACACATACACACATATAAGTAAATAAACGTTTTTAAAATTCCAAGACACTTAAAAAGATCTTAAATTAATGTCTCATCCTGTAATACAGAACTTAGAAGACTGAGGCAGGTGGGTTGCCATGAGTTCAAGGCCAGTCAGAGTGACATAGCAAGACCCTACTTTGGAAAATTAAAAACAGAAAAAACAAAACTCACCAATTTGTCAATCACTATTTTTGTATTTATGTTTCAATAATCAAGTCAAACAAATACAAGTTTTCTGTACCTCTGACAGAAATGGCCAATTTTTAGGTTTTTCTGGTAATTGATAATTACAGATTTTCTCTTATCTTTCTGATTTGGTATGTTTAAGAACAGAAACATGATTGCCCGGGTCTGTATTGGCATAATCAAAAAAAAAAAATCCTGGTGAGAAGAAATTGGACCCTTCTGTGCTATGCCCAAGAAATAACCATGACAAACATGCTATCTACCATTGCCAGAGATGCTTGAACCACAAACCAGGAAATCTGTTGGCTTGCTACTCCCTGTCCTGAGTCCCCCTTCTGAAGATCTTTTGTTCCAACGTCTAGAAATCATTTGACTCATGCCCTCTGGACTCAAAAACTGGATAAATAATCTGTTCTAGCCACTAACCTTGGTGTGTGTGTGTGTGTGTGTGTGTGTGTGTCCATAGAAACATCCCTCCCTCGTGTCTTGACTGCTAGCACCATGAAGCACTCAACATAGGTGGATTCCCTGCACCCACTTGGGAAACCATCTGCTGAATGAGACACTGTTATTCAGGTATCCAGCTGCCAGGAGTTGATTTAATAGGAAGAGCAAGGTGCTTACATTTGACCTTTTCTACCTACTCATCTTTATTCTGATCTTTGCTTTTTCCCCTTTAAGGATCTCACATCATATAACAATTAACCTAAAGCTGTCTCACTTTCTCTTTGCAAATACCAACTCAGCTCTTTTTGTTAGTTTCGATTTTTATTGCATGTTTTTATTTATTCCTATAACTGTGTGCATGTGAGTGAATGCATGGTTGTCTTAGACTATCATGGGGAGGTCAAAGGACAACTTTCCGGAATTAGTTCTCTCCTTCCACTAAGTAGGGTCCAAAGATCCAACTTAGGCCATCAGTCTTGGCAGCAACCACTTTACCTAAGGAGTCATCTTGTTGATGACTTTGTTGATGTTTTGTTTTGTTTTAAGATAAGGTCCTGTGTAGCCACCTGAAGATGACCTTGAACTCCTGATTTTCCCGTCTGCCTCCTCAATTCCAGGTTTGTGGGACCTATGCTTAGCTGTCATCCCAGCTCCAACTTAGTTTTTGACATATAAAACTTTTTGGAAGGGAGAGAGAAAGTTTCAAGGAAAGGGGTGTCAGGTAGTGGTGAAGAGTTCCAGAATCTATTATCCTAAAACATGTGTCCTTTGTATATGGATTAATTTGTGCTAAAACTAATTAAGAATGCTCAAGTGGTCAAAAAAAAAAAAAAAACATGTCACCCTATAGTTGACCCCTGCACATGACGAACTCTCTTGGCCTCTCTGCCTTGTTTGGGTCACCTAGGAAACCCCGTCTAGGCATCAATACCATGCTGTTTGAATACTTTAGGCACCAGAATTACAGACAAATGAGCCACATTATTTTATAAAATAACCTTGGGTATCTGTTATATCGGTTGAAAATGGACCAAGAAGTGGGTATGATGGCATTTGCCTATAATCCCAGCACTTAGGAAGTAGACGCAGGAATATTTTGAGTTCAAGAGCATTCTGAGTGTGGCCAGGTGGTGGTGGTGGTGGTGCACTCAGGAGGCAGAGGCAGGTGGATCTCTGTGAGTTCAAGACCAGCCTGTTCTACAAGGAGAGTCTCCAAAGCTACAGAAAAACGCTATCTCAAAAAAAAAAAAAAAAAAAAAAAAAAAAAAAAAAAAAAAAAAACAGAAAAGACCATTCTGAACTACATGACAAAGAAGAAAATAGACCAAGACAATATATGATTCTTAGTCATTCTTAATGACCTGGCCACTGCCTCTTTGAATGTCTGTTTTTTTAATAAAGCCTTCTGATGTGGGGAGTCCTTGTGTATATGTGTTGCTTTTATTGGTTAACAAATAAAAAAACTGTCTTAAGACTGCTGCCCAGCCCAGTCGCCCAGCCACGCAGTTAGATGGTGGTGCCCGCCCCCCTCCCCCCACCAGCGCTCCTGCTCCTGCTCCTGCTCCTGCTCTTGCTGGCCGCTGGGCGAGGCCAGGAACACGACCAGACCACCGACTGGAGGGCCACCCTCCAGACCATCCGCAACGACATCCACAAGATCAACACGTACCTCAACACCGTGCTCGACCTGCTGGGCGGAGAGGACGGGCTCTGCCAGTACAAGTGCCGACTGATCGATGCCTCTTCCACTCTGCGGATTAAAACCGTCCCACCAAATGGATGTGGCTCTCCATTGTTCGGTGTTCATCTGAACATTGGCATCCCATCCCTGACAAAGTTCTGCAACCAGCACGACAGGTGCTACGAGACCTGTGGGAAAAGCAAGAAGGACTGTGACGAGGAGTTCCAGTACTGCCTCTCCAAGATCTGCTGGGACCTGCAGAAGGCTCTAGGGCTTGCTCAGAACGTCCAGGCATGTGAAACAACGGTGGAACTCCTGTTTGACAGTGTCATACATTTGGGCTGCAAGCCATATCTGGTTGGCCAACGAGCCGCATGTTGGTGCCGTTATGAAGAAAAAACAGATCTGTAAGGAAGCCCCTGACGCTGGTGGGCAGACGAGAATGAAGGAGAGGCAAAGAACATGTGTTCACCTCCTGAAACCACCTTATTTTTGGAAGAGGTCATTGTAAGACCTTCCTTGACTGTGTTTTGATTTTAAAACCTCACAGTGAAAAGGAGTGGAAGGTAGGAAGAAGTAGAGAGAAGAGCATGCTCAGGACTGGGAGTAAGTAGAGAGAACAGCATGCTTGCCTTCATGGACCTCACTGTCTCAGTGGCTCCCCCAAAACGGCAAGAAAAGCTTGAAGACTGTGTGATTTGGTTTTCATAGCTGTACTTAACATTAAAAATGAGAGAAAATGGGGGGGGGGACTAAACTGAATGCTGGGAGAAAGAAGGTGGAGTTAGAGTAAAGCCATGTAGCCCCACCAGAGACAGGTGCCAGATGGAACCTTGCTGGTAAACCATGCCACATGGCGATTTACAGATTAATAGAGATGGGTTAAATTAATATGTAACAGCAAGCCAACAAGAAGCTAGAGCTAATAGGCCAAGCAGTGATTTAAGTCTGGGCCAGGGAACAAACAAGTGGCCTCCTACTACAAATTGGTGCCCAACATAAGGCTAGCTAAATCCACATAAAACCTGAAAAAGCTTGAAAAAATTTAAACACCAAAAAAAAAAAAAAAGCAGAGTTAAGCATGGCTTTTCGGGTGGGCTCTGTTTGCTAGAAGCAAGCAGAGGCACAATTCTTTTAAGAGAAGGCTTCCTGACTCAGTGATAGCAATAAAAATTGTGCGGCTTCTTTAGCCTTCTGAGTACATAATTAAAATATCTTTTCTATTGTCTGATTTTTGTCCATTTAATTTTCAGACACTTAAGAGAGTGTCCCGGCTACTTTTATGTCTACTTGACATACATTAGAGTCATTTGAGGGAAAGAATTTCATTTAAGAAATGTGTCTTCATAAGATTTACTATAGGCAGGCAAGCCTGTAGATCCTAGGTCATTATGTATGGGAATGATCTTGGGCTAGTGGTCCTGGGTTCTATAAGAAAGCCAGCAGAGTGAGCCATGAGGAGCAAGCCAATAAACAAGACCCCTCCATAGCCTCTGCATCAGCTCCTGCCTCCAGGGTCCTGCCCTGTTTGAGTTCCTGTCCTGACTTCCTAATGAATTATGATATGGAAGTATAAACCAAATAAACCTTTCCCTCCCCAAGTTGCTTTTGGTCATTGTGTTTATCACAACAATAAATACTCTAAGAGAATAAAAATAAATTTTTATCATCCTTCCTACCAAACCCAAATGCAAACTGAAGAATGTCTTGAAGATGTAGCTGTCTACAAACTAAACCAGCACTTATTTAGAAATAAACAACTGTGTTTTTGATCTTGGCCATTCTTAAGTATAAGATGGAAACTCAGAGTTGTTTTGATTTGCATTTCTCTGATGACTAAGGATGGTGAATATTTTCTTAAGTGTCTTTAGTCATTTTAGATTCCTCTGTTTACAGTTCTCTGTTTAGGTCTGCACTCCATTTTTTTATTAAATTATTTGTTCTTTTGATGACCAATTTCTTGAGTTCTTTGTATATTTTGGAGATCAGACCTCTGTCTGATGTGGGGTTAGTGAAGATCTTTTCTCATTCTGTAGGCTGACATTTTGTCTTATTGACAGTGTCCTTTGCTTTACAGAAGCTTTTCAGTTTCAAGAAGTCCCATTTATTAATTGTTTCTCTCAATGTCTGTGCTGCTGGGGTTATATTTAGGAAGTGGTCACTTGTGCCAATGCTTTCAAGTTTACTTCCCACTTTCTCTTCTATAAGGTTCAGTATGTCTAACTTTATGTTGATATCTTTGATTCATTTGGACTTGAGTTTTGGGCATGGTGATAGATATGGGTCTATATCCATTCTTCTACATGTTAATATCAGTTATGCCAGCACCATTTGTTAAATTTTTTTTCCATTTGATTTTTTTTTGGTTCTTTGTCAAAAATCAGGTGTTCAAAAGTGTGTGGATTAATATCCAGGTCCTTGATTCGCTTCCATTGGTCCTGCTGTCTGTTTTTATGCCAATACCAGGCTGTTTTCAGTACTGTAGCTCAGTAGTAGAGTTTGAAGTCAGGGATTGTGGTGCCTCCAGGAGTTCCTTTATTGTACAGGATTGTTTTGGCTATCCTGAGTTTTTTGATTTTCCATATGAAGTTAAGTACTGTTCTTTCAAGGTCTGTGAAAAACAGCCTGCAAATCATAATCTCAGAGAACCTTGACAACAATGAGGACCTTAAGAGAGAATACACAGATCTAATCTACATGTGAAGTAGAAAAGGACAAAATCTCCTGCAAAAATTGGAAGCATGGGGACCTTGAGAGAGGGTTGAAGGGGAGAGGTAGGGAGTGGAGCAGAGAAAAATGTAGAGAATAATAATAATAATAATAATAATAATAATAATAATAATAATAATGAAATAAAAAACAGGTAGACTATGGCCAAGACTCTTTTTTCTGAGAGGATCTCAGGCCTGGAAGTCCAGCACAATAATAATATTATACCTCGAGTTACTGTGTAAGACTACTGTCTAGGTGCCCTCCGGAAGAAGCAGAATGATATTTGAGATTTGGCACTATGCCAAAAGAACACAGAGGGAGTCCTGTGGACAGTGGTAAGCTTTAAGAGAAACAATAGGACAGGTGTTCAGTTAGCACGTGAAGGTTAGAAGATGGGGTGCTTGTCTTGGCACTGAGCTGGGTTACTTTGGAACAAAGACTTTGGTTCTGTAAACCTTCATTTCCTCAACAGACCTGGACTGATTCCCAGTGTTACCCTCAGACCCCAGCCATCGGCATCACCAGGTAATCGGCAACGCAAACTCTGAACCCCTCCCCAGACTTCTTTAGTCAGAAGTTTGAGGGGGGTCTTCCATCTCTTTGTTTCCACTTATTTATTTCCTTGGGTCAGGGAAGAAGGAAGCAGGTGTTCATTCCACCATGCCAGTGTGGACATCAGAGAACAACTTGCGAGACTTAGTTTTCTCCTTCCACCAAGTGGCTTCTGGGGACTGATTCAGGTGGCCAGGCTTGGCAGTAAGTGCTGCTCAACCTGCCAGCCCCATCTGTGGTTTGTAACACATTTTGCTTAAGTGCCCAGATCCTCATTTGCTTGAGACCAGTAAACCCTAGGAACACTGAGCAAGCTACTAGGTGGTCTACAAACAGTTTCGTTCTGAGCTAAAGAGAAAGAGGAAGATGATTGGCCCTAATCTTTGGCATTGGAAAGAAATCTAGAAAGATATTGAACAGAAGAAAAAACATCATCTATTTGTTTTGAATGGAGCCAGTGTTTGGTAGCTGCCGTTCACTTTCAGGAGCTGTGAGAACCCCATGAACACTTTTAAGGAAGTGGCTTGAGGCAGTTAAAGCCTGTATAGTCTTGGATTTTAAATGACCCCAGAGGCCCAGAAGCTAAAGGCTTGGTCACCTGCCTGTGGTGTTATTGGGAAGTGTTATAGCCTGGTTAGGAGGTGAGGTTTATAATGAAGAGGTTAAGCAGCCAGGTGGGCTCATGAAGAGAACACTAGGACTCTGACCCCTTCCTTGCTCCCTCTGTTTTTGCTTCCAGGCCATCAGAAAGTGAATAGCCTCCTTTTTCATGTTTCCCCACCATGAGGTTCTGCTGTATCACAGGCAACAGGGCCATGTGCCCAGGGACTGGACACCTAGACAGTGTGAACCAGAACCAATCTGTCTTCCTTATAAGCTGTTTTGATCTGCTATTTTATCCAGTGCCAGACACCAGAGGCCACACACGTGATGGCGGTGAACTCTACTAAAGAGTGCATATGCCTTAGGACTGCTTCAAGGTACACACCAATGGAAGGAAAAGTCCCAAAGGAACCTGAGGCAGGAGGATTGCCTTGAGCCCAAGGTCAGCCTGGGTTAGTAGTGTGTTCTAGGCCAGGCTGCACAAAGGAGTAGGAGAAAAGAGAAGAAAGGTAGATCCTTGTCTTTCAGTGTGTCACTTACAGCTCAATCAGCGAACTACTATGTAATTAGCAGTTCATGTTAGTGTTGTTTATGTTTCTAAAAATTCTTCAGGGCTCATTGCAAACCGCAGTGGCATCATAGAGCTCAAAGGATAAGATTTGGTACTACAAAGCGAAGAAAACATACAATCCAAGAAACAATAAATAAAAATGCCAACTTGAAAATCAAACTCTCTCCCAGGCGTAGCTGATGATGAAGAAGATTGCAAAACAGAAGGTTATGCTGGCGTTCCAGAGCCTTCCCCTTCGGTCCTTCCCCTTTCAGTTTCAGGGACCTGCTGTTCTCTTGAGCGTGTGCTAATTCATTAACTCTTTGCATATGTGAATGCAAAACAAAAAAAACAAAAACCCACAGTGAACTGTTCTCATAACAAATTCATGACAGAAGGTTCTGACACATGCACAAGTATCATTCAAAAAGTAGGGACATTTATGAAAAAGGGTCCCTGCAGAGAACTCTGAATGAAGGTTTGACTTAGTGAGGAAAAAAAATGCCCAAGAGCAGTCAGAGAAATGAACGGTAACTACACTACCCTCTGCTGAAGAATGGTCTCCCTCCGAATGAACAATCTATTGCCTGGATGGGCAAGTTTTCACAAACTCTGAACACATGAACATCTGGAAACAGGAAGTTCCTCCAGGACAACAGGTCAACTCTTGTTTCCTTCCTGCTTCTCAGCTCCATCTTCTCATGTCTCAATAAAGACCGCCTCCTCTTCCTTCCCTCCAGGGTAATTCTTCTCTGTCCAGGGGTCAGGGCTGCTCCTGTGGGTCATGCCCACTAGCCAGGTGGCAACCTCTCGGAGGAATGAATGGAGTCCGAGTCCAGCCCCTCTCCCTCTCAAGCCTTACACTAGAGAAATGTCTTGTTCTCACTCAGTGAGACTTCCGATGACACAAGGTAGCTGCACTCCCTTCACGGGCTGCTGCCATTTGGGGGCACATAAGATGCTATTGTGGCTCCTTGAAGGGTCTTTGCCTAGT